TATAGTATAAAGCTTTCTATGATTTGTTCGTATCAAGTCGCACATAGAACAAGAGCATAATTCACGATAAAGATATACCAGAAGCGATGAGATAAACAAATCAAATAATCGACCTTCTTCAAACCGTGAAAGTAATAAAGTCAGAGGCTTGAGTGTTTCTCCCTAACAAATGGACTCAGTATGGGGTTAAATAAGGAAGGCTAAAATTATGTTTAAAGAGGCAAGCATAATGACTGACAGCCCCAAAAACTACAAAACTAAGTAGAATTTCACGACCAGAAAACAAAGATTGGAGATGAGGGAATTTGTTGGACTAAGAAAACACTTATGACATTTATTTAGGACTTCCTGAGATGTCCTTACACACTAACTCAGTACATGGAGACAAGTAAGTGACTGGACTTCAGTAGAAATAATAACCATCCCAACCTAACTTGCAGAAGCAAACATCTGATGACTAACTTCCGTCCTAAAGCTTCATCAAACTTTTTATCAATTCGAAATAATTATAAGAGTATCTTCCAAAGAATTCTCAGTCATCGTGAGAAAAAAAGTACGTTTTCACTTTCAGGATGACTAAAACAACAAAATATATCTCATTTCTATTTGTGTATTTCTTCAAACCATTTAAGAGAATCGATTTCTTTCCATACAATGTAAAAAAAGACCACTGATATATAGTCAAAAGTCGTTATATTATGCTTTGACAAATGGAATAATCCATAGTTATTTTTAAACTATTGAAGTTGAAATCAAGTTGTATCGATGGTGAAAAGTCTTTAGAGAATGCCAGCAATATTGTGTTAGACTAAATTACTCACTAACTAATTTATTGACGATTTCAGTCCAGTTTTAGGTGGAGTTTTGATCTCTGAGCTGGATGGTTTGGTCGTGAAGCTTCCATCATTTGCGCTGATGAAGCCACTCGGAAGAAAGATGAAAGCCTCATGACCAAACCATTCAGCTCAGAGGACAACAATCCACCCAAACCATACACTTGGGCTACAAATCTTCTCAAACATTTCAAAATCTCAGTCCAGTCTCATTTTAAAAGGTTAAGTAGGGATATAATAACCTTAAAAATCTAAATAAACGAGATACTAAAATAATGTAACGGGAAGCAGGCAGAACATGTTAACTGGGAGATGTATTTTCATTTTCCAAGGCAGAAATAAATCTGTTAAACTACGGATTACTATGCATTGCCTTCTCGAGGCGGGTGTTGTTTACGAAATTGAAAGAACGAAAAGCGAAAGTCCAGAGCTTAAATAGGGCTACTGGGTATGAAGGGTCTATCTAAGGGAGGTAGAAAACCCTGACTGCGAACAAATTGTTCACAGGAGCTCCAGGATCCTCAGGGGGCAAATGGAATATGAACCTATTTCTGGTCACTGACTACCATGAAATTACAGTTCCTAAAGTTGCTCCATTGTCCGATGGACTAGACCTCTAGGTCAAAGGCTCCAACAGAGGCAATTAAGGATGAGTTCTACCACCGCTCAAGTGTTCTTCTACAGAAAGTGAGTTCGACAAATACTGTAGTTATAACCGGAGAATTAAAAGATTGGGTTAGGCTACTAGGCACAAAAAACAATCGTTGGAATGACCGATGGGAACTTTTTGGTCACAGATCAGATAACAGTAACCGTCTACTGCAACTGTGTGCAGATCACAACCTGTTTCTGGCTAGCACTAACTACAGGCACAGTCACCACCGATGTGCCACCTGGTGTCCTCCCTTCTGATTCTCGAGCGTAGGCTCAGATTGATCACATCGCGATCAGCTAACGCTGGTGTGGTTGTGCACGGAACCGTCTCTCCTTTCAGAGTAACTATCTGGACTCCGATCATGCTATTGTTTGCGGTAATTTTATCCTACGTTTCAGTGGCCAACAAATTCATCGTCCTAAACGCATCGATGTCAGAAAATTGGTTGCAGCTTCTGTTGCAACTAAATATTAAACCGGGCTAGGTTCACGGCTAGCTACCATCCCACCGAAACGTATAGGTGAGAGTCGGCTACAATTGCATGACGCGATGAAAATAGTGAGTAAAATTACTTACCTCTGGTTCTTTGTACAGATGGTGTCGACCTCCAGGTTAAGGAACTGACTTAGTTGTATAGCAATTAGAGAAATTTCCAACATTGTGGAATGAGTCGATAGTTGTCCCTATCTTTAAAAAGGGTTTACATCACCTATGCAACAACTATCAGGTAATAAGTCTACTTCCGATTGAGTCCAAACCACTGGACTCCGTCATACTTTGCAGATTGTTCAAAACCCGAGAAGCATTGACTCCTGAGGAGCAGCCTGCTTTTCGTCCTAGTCAAGATCCTATTACCCCCGCCAAGTGTGAGAACACCGTTATACTTGTTACAGACTAACAATCGTAGTGTTCTTGGTATCAGGGCCGCCTTCAATTCGCTGGACAGGATTGTTCACTGGGATTGTGTATTGAAGAAAGGTGTGTCTGAGTTCACTATATACAAACATCTCAGGCAGAGTGAGAGCATACAACCACCTCTCCCTATTGTTGTGTTCGAGTAGTTGGATCAATCTGGGTTGTCCAATCTCACCATTCCTCTTCAACTTTGCCATCGATGATTATCTGGAAACAGTTCTGATGGATGTAGGTAGTGGTGGTATGGATTTGTTACCTGGAGAAAAACTTCTCAACCTTGAGTATGCGGGTGATATTATCTTACTGTGCAACGATACAGAAGCCATGCAACCCGCACTTAATCAGTTGGCAATCAGTATCCATAGGTATGGCATTCCCTTTGCACCTTGTTGTGGGTAATGTCCTCAATATCTGACTCCAAATAATAATATCCCGTAACTGAGTATTTTAGGTAGGCTTAATCTCTTGGTAGAATTGCGAATTTACTCGAGATTATTAAAAAGCCTGAACACCAGTCATAGAGATAGTTTATTGTTAATGAATAATAATAATCCACAGGCGTACGGTGAGCAAGCACACGATGAAACAGAGAGAGTGAGTGAGTCTGTTAAAAATCCATATATATTTGAGAGTTAATCGGGTGTGGATAGATTATCGATTATCTGCACATTGAAACCAATAGGAAAATAGCTTAAGAGTTAATGTACAGACATACATTCGATCATACACACCGAAATTAACATAGTGAATTGAGTCTGAGTTACAATGACTAGATAAATGATACAGTAGCCAAATGGGCTTGCCACAACCTTCTAAGTCCAAAGTGCTTTTAAAATACTGGTAGGACCCTGAACCTTCACTCACTTTTGGTAGCCAGCAGATAGAAGTATTCGAGAAATTCGTGTAACTGGTTAGCTGCGTAAGTGATAGTGGTGGTTTGAATGATAAGGTCAACTCACGTATAGTGAGAACCAGGACAGCTCATGTCAATCGGAACCAGCCCCCAAATGCCCTGGTACGGCCGAGGGTGGGAAGAGTTAGCTCTCCCTCTCGAAATGTTCTCACATGGCCACATGCATACAGCCAGTACCAGAGGAAGTCCTACTCACTGCCTTCTCGCACCAGGGGTGTTATTCACAAAATTGAGAGGACGAAAAGTGAATTTCCGGCTCTTTAACCGGGTTGGTGGACACGGAGAGTCCACCTAGGGGAGTCGGAAAACCATGATTCTAAACCAATGGTGCACATGCACTCCAGGATCCTGAAGGAACAAATGGCATATGAACCTATTGTTGGTTACTGACTACCATGGGACTGCATCTCCTAATGTTGCTCCACTGCCTTTTGGATCAGACCTTTAAGTCGAAGGCTCCGGGCATGGCCCCCTAAGGAAACCACCTGTTTCGATCTGGGCATCCGGGCAGCATCACAGCCCACACACAAATCAAGTGACCTGTGTTGTACATAAGTATTCAGTGCCTCTTAGTATCAATATTTATGTGTTCAAATAAATAAATCGGAACCACCTTTGGTGCCGTTGTGATATTAACCTGACTGTAAAAGGTTGGATCTACAGCGCATCGGTGAGAGAAGTTCTGCTCTGTGCTTGTGAAACTTGGTCTCTCCGAGTTAAGGATGTTAAGTAACTCTGTGTTTGGTCATCGTTGACCTAGACAAATTTCCGACATTCAGCGGCAACACTATGCTAGTAATGTGGAGGTCCAACAATGTGTATGAGCACACTGATGTTAATTCAATTAATGTCACCATTTCGAAACATCGACTTCAGTGGCTTGGGCATGTCCTCCGAATGTTATCCCAGAGAATTCCACATCGTGGATTATTTGCCGATGCCGAGACTGGTTGGAAAAAGCAGAAAGGTGGTCAGTGTATAAAGCGATACCCTGATGTGAAAGACAGCTGTATAAGCCTCAGATATCTGTCCGTCACTCCCCACCTGGGGTTCTAGGGATAGTGCAACACAGTGGTCTGAAACGTTATTGGATATGGCTCAGAATAGAAGCTGGTAGCGATCCTGCTATAACCTTTTTATTTATTTTATATAAGTGAGAGGAACTTCTTTGGCTGAAAGAATCCTTCCTGGTTGTATTTCTTTTAACTAAACTGCTTCAACAGGCTCTCAGGTCAAGTTGTTAGCCATACGTGGAAATACTCGAACACTTCACTTCTACCTGAAGTTTTTGCTGATGATATTGATCAGAATGATGAAAGCTCTACAACCAAACCATTCAGCTCAGAGAAAAAAACTCTACCAAAGCCATCCACCTGAGCTACAAATCTCCACCATCTCAAGTCCTCAAATAGATGGTTATCTATTATAATCAGGTCATAAGTCTAAGGGCTAATATTTTCTACACATAAACTGATGGTACTACGTCTAGTACATAGGAAGACCATAGCTTCGTGCTAGTGCATTACAAAATAGGACCGAACGGCTGCAAAATACTGCAAAGTTATTCATTTTTAACCATGTAACTTAGATGCTTGATAGTAGCTAGGATAATAAATACTTTCACAGACAAAAAATCGTGATAACAGAAATGACAATTGCAGAAATACCGGAGAAATAAACTCACGATTATTGTATAGGGGGCTTTGGGTTCAATTAAAGAGTCTGGATTACCATCACCGCACTCTAATGGGTCATTAGAAGTTGAAATGCTAGTTTTGTCACTATCTGGGTTTGGATCAGACCAAACTTCTTCAACTACACGAAATCTACAACGGAAATCGAAAGTGGAGACAGTTTTCACACCTCGTTAACTAAATTAAAATGAACTGAAACAGTGTTTTTAAATATACACACGGAAATATTAGGGTGAATTCTGTAAAATGGATTCAATGACATCAAGACCAAACAGAAGCGACTCGAAATCCTCGGAACTCAAATGGAATTATTATATATTTTGGTTGAAGTCCAGCTGGGATTAGATATGGTAGCTCCCGTTTTGCTTCAGAAATTAACGCCACCTATACACTTAAAACATAGCGAGAAATCACTGTTCAGTTTCCAAACAACCTAAAGGTAAACTGTGCTAATTCTCAACATTAGCTGCGTAGTCACGTTCATGACTGAACTTCCTGTATCCAGGTTTCGGAAACGCTACAACTATGTCACCTCTTAGTTTGGCACAATACAGAAGGATATTTCATCCCAAGTAACGAGATAAAACGGGATTAGTAAAAATACTTTTATTCGCCAAAGCCACAAAAGCAACTGGTTGAGGCCAGCCACACAAGACATTTAACTGGATAGTTTTCACTGTACTAATTCCATAATCTCCGAACCTTATCGCTAACACTGGAAAGCCGTGGAATGACAAGGAAGATCTTTACTAGCTCTTTTGTCTGTGAAAAGGTACAACAGTAAGAAATTCTGATTATTTGTGGAAGACAGCTTACTGCCGCCAAAACACAGCATAACCAGCAGTACAACTCTATTCCTGGAGCTTATATATTTTACTTCTGAGCTTACCTCAACGAAAACGATCCACCTGGTATGTGAGGACCTCAATCAACAAGCGTACAACTCATATACCTAAGCTTTCAGTCATTCAGTCGGCAACAACGTAGAACTTCGTACTTACGTACATCAGTTCAAGTTGCCATACCACATTAGCACAGAGATACAACTGTCGATTCAAATCCCGTAGTGGTAGAGGTAGTAAGATTATAAGCAGTAATCGAGAAGATTAGGGTTTGGAGATGTTATTTAAAGAGTATAACACAGTGAAATAAATTTTGGAAGAGAAAAAAGGGACATGAAGAATACAAATTAGAATCAGGGAGAACACAAAGAGTAGATGCACCTGCGCCATTGCAAACGATTTTGAGCCATGTCATTCAGGGTCTCTAACCATCGGTTGCTATCATCTCGCGGTCCCCAACCAGGTAGTCTACACCTAGCAACATGGCTCAGTTCACTTGTCAGTGACTTCATGGATTTGTGACATTTGTTGGTCTGTCCGCCCTTAGCTTTCTTCCAACCTACTCCTATACCACTGAACATAGCACGTCGAGGTAGTCGGTCGTTGGGCATATGTAACACGTGTCCCAGCCATCTCAACTGATGAAGTTTCACCACTTCATCAATCGATTTGCCATCCTTACCTAGTACCCTTTTCCTAACAACTGCATTACTTACTCGATGCTCCCAAGATATACGAGCTATGTTTCAAAGACACCTATGATCGGATACTAGTAACCTATGAATTTCCTCTACTCTTACCGGCCACGTTTCACTGCCATAAAGTAGGACGGAACGAACTGCTGCACAGTAAACACGTCCTTTGGTTGATAGACGGATATCTCGCCTGCGCCATAGATGACGCAAGTTGGTAAAAGCTAGTCGAGCCTTCTGTATCAGTGCTGAGATTTCGTCACACACCAGACCACGAGGGCTGATGAGACTTCGACACGTTCAACTACTTCACTCCCTATCATTAGTTCGGGTGTCGATGCAACCCAATCCTGAAGCGACATTTCGCATTTCGAGGGGGGGAACCGCATCCCGAACATGCTTGCATTGTTGCTTAGGGTGGTCAGAAGACTCTGCATTTTGTCAGCGTTTTCGCCAAATAAAACTATGTCATCTGCATATTCTAAGTCAACAAGTGAACCTCCCGGTAGAAGTTCAACCCCTGGGAATTTAGATGAGGAAAGTGTTATCTCTAAAAGCACGTCAATGATAAAGTTAAACAAGAATAGAGAGAGTGGGCAACCCTGACGAACACCACTTGAGGTAATCAATTCTGATGACAGTTCGCCATAAGCTCTCACTCGACCAGTTATGTTCGAGTAGAGAGCCTTTATAAGGTTAATGTACTTCTTTCAGTGACAAACACTACCATAGAACCTCACGATCAACACAGTCAAACCCCGCCTTAAGGTTAAGAAATACTACTATTATGGGGCGTCTGAATGTGTCTATGTTCGAGGACCTGACATAGTGTGAATATCTGGTCTATACAACCACGTCCAAGTCGAAAACCAGCCTAGTTTTATCTAGTCTGCTCTTCACGAGCTTTGGTTAGGCGTCGAAGTATTATTGAAGCTAATATTTTAGACACTATATTAGTCAAGTTGATTCCTCGGTGATTGTCACAAGAAGACTTTTGTTCTTTTTTTATAGACTGGCACAATCAGTGATTGAGACCAGTCAGATAGGATTACGTCCAGTTTCCAGATTCTATCTAAGACCTCAGTCAATCTCACTGCTAATACTGGACTGCCATCCTTAAAAATTTCAGGGGTAAACCTGTCAAGGCCTGCTGCTCTCCCACGCCTCAGATTTCCTATGGCTTTTTCAACTTCGTAAAGAGACGGAGGACTTACATTAACTTGCCATTCACGTTGACTGAAGATCGTGAGGAACCGAAGTGTGGCCGAAGGCCAGTTGAATGATCCCTAAAGTGTTCTGCCCATCGATCTAATCTCCTGGATTGAGAATGTATAATATGTCCATCTTTCTCTGAGAGTGATTCGCTAACAGTCGGTTTCCTAATACCGGTTTCCTTAACAAGTCTGAACAATTGTCTGCTATTACCTATTGCCGCTGCTTTTCCCATCTCTCTTGCTATCGCTACCCACCACTGTTCACAATCATTGCGTAGACTTCTTGTCAGCTTGCGCTTAAGCTGACTCCGCTCTTCATTATGTTCAGAGCCAGGTGGAATGAGTTTCCGAGCATCTATCAGTGCGATAGATGCTGCTGATATCCAGTGTTGCTCCCTAACCTTACGGGTTACCGTACTAGCAGATATCACTGCTGTTTTCACAGCTTTTCGGATATCATTCCATGCTGCCTCGGGGTGGGCATCACATACATGGCTGCCTAACTGTTTTCCTAGTTGTTCCTAAAATATACTCTTAGCTTGACTATCATTAAGTAGGGCCCTAAGAGGTTTACTTGCAGCGTCTTTCTTACGTCCAGTAAGACGGAGACAGATACGCGCTCGTACTAGAGCATGATCTGAATCTAAGCATGTGCTCCAGAATGAGCGACAGTCTTCTATCGAGCCCCTCCACCGGTGGCTGATGGCGATATGATCTAGTTGGGTCCAACGTTGGGATGAACTCGGGGTCGCCATGTCAAAAGATGTTTTTCTTACGCTTGAAGTTAGTATTTGCTAGAAACAGGCGATTACCTGAGCGTAGTTGCAACAGACAGTCGCCATTATCTGTTCTTTGAGCCACGACACCATAAGATCCACCCAGGTGTCTTTCTTTTTCGCTTAGTTTACCTACTTGAGCATTAAAGCCACCAGCCAATATTACTACATCGGAGCGCCTAACTTTTTGGCGGAGGTCAAAAGGCTTTCTGTAAAACTCATCTCTTACCTCATCTGAGCTGAAGTCAGTGGGAGAGTAGGCAGACGACGAGTGTTCCTATCATTTCGAGTTCCTAATGCTCCGTTTAGTCGGGCAGCGCACAAGCGACTTTTTACTGGGATCCAGTCTAAGAGAGATAGTTCTGCCCTAGGACTCAATACTATACCTATACCAGCGAGGCCATGGGAAGCAGCGTCAGGGCTTCCAGATACACGAAGTATGAATCGAGATGGTTCTTTATTATGATATGATGGGGTCAAATGAATGACGCTACTAGGATTCTGTATACACGTTTCGGAGACGCAGCATACATCGATGGCGTGATATTCTACAGTCCTAGCTAAGGAAGCATGTTGTCTTATTTGGCACAGTGTTCGGACGATCAAAGCTCCTACATGTGGTTTAGAGCGTGGTTTCAGGAGACCGGGAATAACGTTCCGCGTACTCGAATCGTTTGCATTAGCGGTGAAAGGTGATAAAGGAACGTGAGAGGGGTTAGTCGTGGAGATAAGAGGCCTATTAAGAGGTGTAGAAAGGGTTTGGTTGTGACCAACCTGCTCTTGTGTGCCGTTACGGGTATGAGGGCTGATGTCACTTTCCGGGTGCCCACACTATGGAAGGGTATTTCTTGAGGAACCTGAAAAGGAAGTTAGATTAATGTTGGTCTTAACGACCTGGGAGCGTGGCCTCAGAGCTAAAGGAACAAATGCTTGAGGCCGGTCACGCACAGACTTTTTGTGGGAAGTTTTTAACGTGTAAGCTCTGTTCTTCAAAAGGCCTTATCGTCGGAGACGGAAATTCGTGAGATAAGGTGAGGTGTGACATTTTTAGGGTTGACCTTTTCTAACCCCTTCCTTTCTTGTGAGAAGGAAGCATCGCTACAGATGCTGGTTGCCCGAGGGAAACACCTTACTGCTGTCACACCCCTCCACAGTCAGCAGTACGACTTCGCCCTCAGACCTTGAGTTACTACTCTTAGTCTTACCGTTCTCCAATCGACCTGCTTGGCATGGTAGAACCTACAGGAACACATGTTCCAGCCAATGTAGCTCGGTTGGGTCATCACGATGGGCAAGTCAGACCACCACGTCAAGGTAACAGCTACAGTCGGGTTACCTAAGCTGAGTATTGACAAAATTCAAATGTAACCATCAGGCTTAGCTGAACGCTGCAATCAGACGAGAACTGTTAAGGAATTCATATCTGTTCTTAGTATAACATCCTGACAAACAACTGCATGATTATATTCTCGACTTCAAATCCCATCGCATAGGGGCTAATGATACTGTACAGATCTCTCAACCGAAGTGGACCAATTTTCGAATATGTTATGTATAAGACCTAATTTTCCGAATATACAGCCATATCTCCATACAGAAGAGAACCAAAAACTAGAACCTAAAGGACGTTCACTCCATGGTCTGAAATCGTTTCATAAACGACATTAACTTATGGTGAAAGTAATCTTTAAATTTCAAGTATTTTATAAAAATGAAATATTCTTCGTGGTTTCCTCGTGAAATTCTCAGAAATAGATATACTCTACCAAGATCGAAGATTATGAAGCAAAAGTCCAATAAGTTTGTGACATACCTAAAAATCAGGTGATTTGATCTGAAATCGATGGCCTTTACAGGTTATTTTTGTATTCACATCTTAATAAACTAACATCCACATAATCAGTGAACTATAATTACTTCAACAAAATAATAAACTGTAACAAACATGAATACTCACCGAATCGTATCATGTTTGTCGATGCGCAATTCAGCTGCTTCACCTTCGTACGCATACTCCCATATCCATGCATTTCGTTCATAGTCGCTAAGAAGAAGAGTGAATAACAAATTGAGAGAATTTACTATCTTGAAGGTGAGCGTAGTTTTTCTGCAGGTATAAATACATCATCAAAAAAATTCAGTGACACACGTAAGCCAGCTTTGGAAAGAGATTTTACAATTCCAATAAGAATTTCATCAATAAATGGACGAAAGCAAACGATTCGAAAGCTCACTAATTAGCCAGCACTGATAGAGAAGGAAATTTTGCTACCTGTAGTATAATAGGCACCATCGACATCTGATATAAAGCTTTCTTCAACTTTCAAAATGTCCCATAAAGAAATGCACAGACCAACTTTGTAAATAACCTGCAATTAGAAATATTTGAAAATTAACATTGAGGAAGATTAACTATAAAATGGAAAACGACCGGAAAGAAACAATTAAAATAACAAATATAAAGCAGTTTTACATATGCCGAATACTTAAACAAATGACACGAACTAGACTGTCAATCTCAAAGCATGAATGATAGAAACTAAACATGCCTTATTTGAATGAAACTATTAACGCGCGTGTTTACATAAATCTCACTTCGGAAAACTTATAATTTTCAGTGATATTTAAAGTACATAAACCCACTATGACGGAACGTTCATTTAAGTGTCATGTGATGTGAGAATCGTTGTAACATAATCATAATGTGCCTTGTAGCAACTAACCTGTTTAACTTATAAAAGCCACATTGATACCATCTCAAAAAGCACTCTGTCGTTTAAACTAGCATATGTAGGCAACGGAAAAGTGATCGACAGATGAGTATGCAAGCCAATGGGTGGTTGCTGTGTTGTGATTGATGAAATTTCAACTAACAAATCAATAGAGGTTATTCAGTTGTGTTAAATGAATGGACAAAAAAAGCACGAGAACCAGGTGACTGTGGTGTAGGCATTGGTGCGAAATAAAGGATCCTAGATGGGACAACATAACGAAGAGAAATGAGCTCAGAAACAAAACAACAAAATTATTGAAGAACATCTACTTGATACCGCCTTGTCTGTATACACATAAATAAGTGAAGTTCGAATGACGTTGAGCGGGTATATAGCAGCTAGATTTATGCATCTAAAGTAACATTTCTACTTAGCTATAAACGTTAACACTAATGTACTTATTTCTACAAAATAAAAATATATATTGCTTACTTTGCTACAGAAACGAGAATTAAGCTCCTGCTCAATTATTTCTTTCATATCTGAACCGATGTAATTAGGCTTAATTACAACAGTATCCTTCAAAGAAACAAGAACAAACATCTCACTAACAAGTAACGTCTACTTTAAACTAGCCACCATCAAACGTGATACAAAACCAACTACCAGTGCACGAAGACTTCAGTAAACTCAGTTTTACTTCATAGGAACGAATCCCGTGTCAGCCTAAGTAGATTCCACCCCTTATTTGATCCGAATGTTTTTAAACATTCACACAAATGAGGCTACTACATTCAGCTAAAATGGTTCAAAAGGTTGTGAACGGAATCGAAGAAACTTTCGTTTAACAGGCTTCCATGTCTAGTAGTACTAGATCATCGATACTTCCAGGCAAGGACCTAGGTATATTAACGATTATAGAGAAAAAATAAATTGGTTAATCATAATAAAATATTGTCCTTTGTCCTTAAGAATAGGCCACGTTTCTTCCGAAAGAACTCCTGGGAAGTCGCTTAGACTAGCTCAGCCGGCAGTGAATTCCAGCATTTGGCAACCCTTGAGGAGTAGAAGTTGCGTCTACAGTCCGTTCTGCTGTGTTGTTTCTCTAGTTTCTAGGTGTTACCCCTTGGGTTTGTATTGAAGCTAAACTTATCTAGTTGTTTAAGGAGATGTTCAGAAGCATTAAGAATCCGAAAGAGAAAACAATGCGTGGTGTGAACTATGAGAGTTTCGTGAAATCATCCTTTTATCTGGGATTGAGTCGTAGTTTTCATATCTTTTATGCCTTAGTTTGAAGTATTATCAATAATGATTATGAGAGACGTTGTTACTGATTTCTGTTGAAATATTCTTTCGAATTTCGGACATTGTTCGCATAGGTTATTTACTTTGATTGTGGTGCATGTGAAATAAGTAAGGATCAAGTGGTCAGTTTTCTCCATCCAACTCCAAGTATATGTACTTGAAGGACGTTTTGTGACGAGTTAACAGTGATTTAGTGTTTTTTAACTTTCATAGAATTTCTGACAGTTGTGTAAGGTCAGTGATATGTCGTGGCCTTAGCCAAGTCACGCGGCAGTCGAGTCGCCGAGTATGGACTCACATCAAGGTTAAGGACGACCACCGAGCATTAATCAATTGAACCTCATGAGGCAGCAGTCACACTCGATTATACATATTATTACCAGACATTTCTGTAATGTCGTTATCTATACGGTCATTAAATTAGCCACAGTACCTGCGTACAACGTAGGGGTGGCCCATGCTACGTGCTAACCTCATGGTGTGACGCTGATGTAATCTATGGGGTTTCACTATTCCCGTACGGCTCAAACAGGCCCTCAATCATCGACACAGACCACCTACGTTGATGATTTACGGTTTTTGGTGTCTATTTTGCTACAGTGTTATTTTAAGAGTTCAAATGAGTGAAGCAATATGCACCATATATTTAGAACTAGTTAGTTAATAAGAATTGTGTCCCATGTTTTCTCTAAATTAATTTGGTAGCCCACACTCGACAACTGGCAATCGTGATTATGTCGGTTCATTATATGAATAGCATTCGGCAGTTTACATATTCAACCCAATTCTTCACATGCGATGTGCCTGTAAGTCGCCCTCCAGGCATGGCTTCGCATTATAGTCCGTCTTGAGAATTCCGTATAACGTTAATGGTCTCCACAGGTACTCTGTAGTGTTCAGGATGCTTTCACAAGGTCCTCCTGTCTATGCCATCGAATCCCTTCTTAAAATCAAGGAAGTTGATGTATACCAACAGGTCTCTCTCAACTAATTATTCGGTAACAATCCGAAGAGTCACGGTTTAGTGGGTACCCTCACTAAATCAAGGTTGTCGGCCTGGAATATGATCGCCTGCTGAATCTTCTATTCAAGTTCAACAACGCTGTTGAAACCCTTGCCTAATACTGATAAAAATTTAATTTCTTCGCAGTTTTTACACATGATAAGATCATTCGTTGATATCTTGATGTGGTATCATTCTTTGCAGTCTCTTGATACTCGTTATTCCTCACAAATCCTTCCAACGAAAATTAACAGCACCTTCGTGACCACTCCTTTATCTGACCCTAGTGCTTTGGTGGGTATGTTGCCTGATTCTGGTGTTTCATGCAGCTTGATTTTTCGGTATCCCAGTTAATTCGTTTAACTGTTAATGGGACAGCATCTATAAAAAGGTCTGTGTATGGCGCTTCGATCTACAGTAAGTTCAGTTGCTTTGGTCTGCGTAAGAGCTCTCTGCAGGGTTTTCATCTGTTCCACTGAACTTGAGTCCCATTAACTGGTTCTCCTTCCTTAACTACGACTGGTCTATACGCTCCTTAACATTTCCCCGCAAGCTTCTACGTTACACAACATACCTACTTCCTTAGGAGTTCCTCAAGAGGAAACATGACCTATTCTTAAGGACAAAGGATAATATCTTATTATGATTGACCAATTTCTTATTTCTCTATTGTCGTTAATGCACCAAGGTTCTTGCCTGGAGGTATCAATGATTTACTACTACTAGACATAGAAGCCCGTTAAGCGAAAGCTTCTTCTATCCAGTTGAAGATGCTACAGGTATTTGAAGTTTGACAACGCTTTACCCAGCAACACCTTCCATTATGAATCGCACCCATCAAGCGAAATCAAAAGACAGAAGTGAGAATGTTCGAATATATATTTGATAGGCTATCAATATACGGAGGAATAACTTATCTAATCTGGCTAGCGATTGCAGAGGATGTTGAGCACGGCGTTTCCACAACCATTTGAAATCACATTCATGTAACATATATAGCACACACTAATGAAATAACCTTAGGCACCAATAGTACTTCTGAAGTTTCCTTAACAGCGGACACGATATTCCAGACACAATTTTTCATCTATTCTTTTATCATTCCACATATTTCCTGACCATCATTGACCCTTCAGAGCGGTAGTGTGGTTCGCCATCTTGAGTTTGACCTTCGGAAACAAATATTAGCGGTAGACAGGAATTGACAGCGTAGCAATTGACTGCAAGTGTTTACTGTTTTTCTAAAGCGAATAACTGCTCATTGCACTTGTTCTCACTAAAACAAACGAAGTTTGATTATGAGTCTATCCAGGTTATCGTTGATTGCATGTTGCAGGCGTGGACTTTCTGTTTCTCCCCACCGACTGAGTTCTACAGCACATCAAGGAGGAGCGGTTAATTGGCTTATTAAAAATTATCCGGTTACATTCCTTGGATCAGTAGTTTCGTTCGGCGTGGTCCTCATGATTGGTTACAGTATTGTTTGTGTGGCAAAGAATCCTGATCTTTACATCGCGATATACGATAGAGTGCCTCGAGATGAATTCTTTTTTAATAAAGACTATTTTGGGGCAAAAGTACCAGAGACCTCGAATATAGCCCCTCCTGTCCGAATGCACTATAACGGAGTCTTGGACCTACCATACGAAGATAAACATGTTCATCCCCCAAAGGAATTGTAAATCGAAGCACCTTTTCCTGATGGGAACTTTGATTATTCTTGTGAACGGTGAGGTTAGTCATTAACTTTACTTAGTGTTCCAATGCTTTTCGAAAGATATTTAGGTGTAGTTTGTATTTTATCATAAAGTATAATGTTTCTGAGGATATCGTCTTGCTTTTTGACGTGGATCTTATAGGGATGAGATATTTAGTCTCACAATATAAGTATTGTGAAATTCTCCGAATTAACCAATAGCTAGTGAGTTAACACAGGTAACGTCCTTGAATAGTTTATTATTTAGTAAACTAAGAATTCGTTTGTGAAATTTTCTTCATCAAACTATTAGTGGTATGTATAATAGTGTGAAGACGAATGGTTTATTTCACTAACTTTTCCAACTAATCTCAGCGTCGTGAAATGAAATGGTAGCCGTGTAAATACGCTCCAGTCAGTTTGCCAAGCTTACAATAACTTCCTGCTCATAATCCTCGTACCCAAACGCACGTTACTGAACCTTGGCATTATGTGTAGTGTTACAATATCAAATCATCCACTTGTAGATAAAAATACTAGGTACGATATCCCCAAAATCAGTTCAGAGAAGTAGCGTAACAATTATATTTTAGTGCTATCTATGCGTTGCATATCCGACATTCGATGTTCAGACGGACACCACGATGACTCCAAAGGCTTTCTGGACTGATTTCATGTATAGGTCACAACACAGCTGCTTGCAAACATCTTGTGAGTTCAGGCCAGTGACAGCGTTTTAATGCTTCTGCACTTCGTGTAAATTAAACATGTGTTGGATGATGGTTATTGATTATTTAAGTGTAGTTGGGATAATTTGCTTTCCATCATACAGCAATATGATATCAGACTCCAGAAGTCCTGATTTTTATTAGGTCTAGATTTCCACGAACTTCCAAAGTGACATCGGTAGTAAACTTAAAAGCCAGTGGCAAGATCAAGTAATACTGAATAACCATTTGTTTCCGGAGTCGAAAAAAAAAGTTTATATCCCTCAATGTATTGCTGTAGAGTTCTCAACATGTGAGAAACGCTTCATATAATTCATTAGCTTAGGAATAATCTCAGATTATTGTCTTGCTCAACAAAAGTGCAGTTTGTGTAATAAGAAATTATAATTAAGTCTGTAGCACACTTGACAGTCGCTAATCATAAGATAGTGTAAAGCCTTAATCAATAATTAAATTAATGCAGGCAATCATCCTCTCTCAATTGACAGGATCTGCACATGTTTTTAATGAGGAAGCAGACCGAGTTACTGATTAACATACGTAGCGAAGGATAGTGAAACACTTGGTGCTCCCTCCCATATGCACCGACGATAGTGCATATAACGGTTTGATCGATGGTGCGGCCAAACTTCTTAGCAATTATCTGTCCAGTAATCCTAATTGGTTTGATATGAATCTCAAGGTGTTTGTTTGCTCTGTATGAAAGCTTGAGGAAATTCTGTCATCTAAAAATACTAGTGAATATAAACAACACCATATGTATTCACGCACAACAGAACCTTCAAATAGCATATATGGCTTGTAGAGTAGCTGCATTGTACAACAAATTAAGCGGTCATATGTTTATAAAAGCCAATATGAAAACCTAGGTAAGTCTTAACAGACCTGGACGTCCATCAGAGATGAGCGACTGAGTATGGTAAGCTTAAAAATTTGGAAAACTAGGGCACACGGGATTTAAAGAGCATGCTAATGTTAAGCCCCGTGAAGATTGGCTTGTTTGTAATAACTTAGTCGAATTTCGTAAGCAC